CTCACCCCCCCTTATTTCTCTTTCTCACCCCCCCTTATTTCTCTTTCTCACCCCCCCCTATTTCTCTTTCTCACCCCCCTCTATTATTTCTCTTTCTCACCCCCCCTTTTCTCTTTCTCACCTTATCTCTCTTTCTCACCCCTTATCTCTTTCTCACATATATCTCTCTCCCCCTTATTTCTTTTTCTCACCCCTCTCTCACCTCTTTCTCTTATATTTCTCTTTCTCACTCTTTCTCACCCCCTCTCACCCCATTTCTCTCACCTCTCTCACCTCCCCCCCCTTCTTTCTCCCCCTCCCCCCTACCTCCCTGTAGCGTGGCCGAGCCCTGTATAGTCCGCGGGTACAGGGAGCTTTTGTTTCCTGTACCCGGCCGGACTAACAGGAAGTGCACACTCAGTGTGCACTTCCTGTTAGTCCGGCCGGGTACAGGAGACAGCTGCTCTCTGTACCCGTCGGACCATGCTGCAGTGAGGGAGCTGACAGGAGCGCTCCCTCCTGTCAGCCTCTCCCCATGCTGCGCCCGGGCGGTGCGGTCCGCCCTCATGGAAGCACCGCCCGGGCAAAGCTGCAGCCGCCTGAGGCTCTCTACAGAGCGCTCGGGCGGCTGCTGCATGGGGGGGGCGGCGGGGCTGGTCATGGCACCCCCCACCCTGGTGGCACCCGGGGCGGACCGCCCCCCCCCACCCCCCCTTAGTGCGCCACTGCATGTAGGGGCTGGGGGGCAGGGGCGGACTGGGCCGGGGGACAGGGAGGCAATTGCCCCCTAGGCCGCCCTAAAGCATGTTAAAAAACGGCCGCTGGGCCGTCTTTAACACAGGGCTAAAGGCAGCCTCTCTTGAGCCCGGCCGGCCGTGCCTTCAGAAATCTGATCCTTCACTATGCGGTCGGCATTGCCGCATAGTGTAGGACAGACTGGCTCGGTGGCTCCTCCTTCTGACCTCCCCTGCGCCTGAAGGCAAGCACTTACCGTGATGTCCTGAAGGACGCCGGGACGGAACACCCTCACACCCTTTCTCCTAGCCGAGCATCCTGAGAGAGCAGCTGCCGGTATCTTCAGAGAAAGTGTTCAGAGAAGTGTGTTTTTTTTATTTTATTTTATATTGACTGTAATGTAAATTAAATTTTTAGGGGGAGAGGGTGGGGGCAGTAGATGCAATGTGTTAATCATGTATAAAAAAAGAAAAGTCTGCAAAATAAAAGTTGTAATGATGGAAATTTATTTTTAGGGGTAGGGAGTGGGGGCAGTAAATGCAATGTGTTCAGATAAAAAAAAAAAGTCTGCAAAATAATAAAAAAAGATTGTAATGAGGGAGATATTATTTTTTTTTTAGGGGCAAGGGGTGGGGGCAGTACCATAAAAGCAATATGTACATTTATAAAATAAAAATCTGCAAAATAATTTTAAAAAAGATTGTAATGAGGGAGATAATTTTTTAGGGGGAGGGGAAGGGGGTGGGGGCAGTACCATAAAAGCAATGTGTACATTTATAAAATAATAAAATAAAAATCTGCAAAATAATTTAAAAAAAGATTGTAATGAGAGAGATATTTTTTTTTTGGTGGGGCGCAGTACAATAAATGCAATGTGTACATATATAAAAAAAAATAATCTGCAAAATAGAAAAATCTTGTAATGAGGAAGATTTTTTTTTAAAGAGGAGGAGGGGGACAGTACAATATTTGTAATGTGCACATTTATCAAAAAAAATAATCTGCAAATTAAAGTTGTGTTCTAAAAATCTAGAAATTTGGTCAGCTTTTTTTTTTTTTTTTAATCTTTTTTTTTCTCTATCATCATTGTAAGGATTCCCTCTCACTAAAGTGACATTTGATTAGCAGATTAAATCTTGGAATTTTTATTTTTTGTTTACTTAAGAAGTGAGCCATGTAGATTTAGAACTACTGATCCCTGCTAAAAAAATCTACTGTTTTAACGTAGTAATGTACACAGGAATATTAAAGGGACACAATAATCACCAGAACAACTACTATTTGATCTGTTGTCATATAGTCATTCCCTACAGGCATTTCAATGTATCAGAGAAAAAGCAGCCTAGAAATACCTCTAGTGGCCACTCCTCAGATGGCCGCTAGAGGTGCTTTCTGGGTCAGTGCTGCATAATGTGCAGGGCTGACGATTAGCATCATGCTGTACACTCCCCATAGAGACTCATTAATTCAATGCATCTCTATAGGGAGATGCTGATTGGTGCAGCGCAGCATTTTGCCATGCATGCGCAATAGCTTCTCAGTGCTTTCCTATAGGAAAGGAGTGGATTGTCCTGTGTATTGTATTGATGAGGCCAGAGGCGGCCCTCTAATTAGGCGATTTAGGCAGCCGCCTAAGGCTTTGCGTTAAAAGAGCCTCACGGCCGCCTAAACCATGTAATCAGAGAGCTGCAGTGCTTCACCAATATTAACTTACTGCCGGCATCTTTCCCAGTATAAAAACATCATTGAAGCCTTTCATGCCGCTGCCGCGGTGCTACTAATACAAGATGAAACCCCTTGCATAGCTGCTTTCTTTAAAACACATGGCTATAACTGACAAGTTAAAATGGTCTGATTCTCAAACCAGGGTTGTCAGGCTCATTATGTACTTAATGATCAGATGCAGATAAAGTCTTTTTGAGTTTTATTTGTCAAAATCCCAGGTGAAATTATACTTTTGTTTTGTGTCCATGTAAAGATGAGTAATTTGGCTTTTACCGACAGGTGCTGCTGTGTATTGGGTGTAAAACACCAGGCTGCTTTGTACATTTTTACCTCTGGCAGCAAGCAGGCTGTATATTGGTCCCCGGGGCATAGAATTAGTGTAAATTACAGGCACTATGTCTGTCTCTCTCCATACCCTTTGTTCGTGTCATTGTCGAACATGTCAATTTGCAAAGTGCCACCATTATGTTTTTGACTAAATATAAATATATTGGCCACTGGCCAGTCTCTCCTGACACTAAATCGGCAATCTTCTTTCATTTTACAATAGGTGAGGTGTGAGCTAAGTGATTGTAAAATGCTCACTTAAAGGGACACTATAGTCAACAAAACACCAACTTTAGCTTAATGAAGCAGTTTTGGTGTATAGATCATGTCCCTGCTTAATGAAGCAGTTTTGGTGTATAGATCATGTCCCTGCTTAATGAAGCAGTTTTGGTGTATAGATCATGCCACTGCTTAACGGATCACTATAGTGTCAGGAAAACCAAGCGGCTTTCCTGACACCATATAATCCTTGGGGACCCCCACCCTTAGGACCCCCACCCTTAGGACCCCCACCCCTCCCTCCTCAGCAGCTTACCTTTATCCAGCGCCGGGCTCCCTCTGCGCTGGTGACCTCTCCACCCTTGCTGACGTCAGCTCCCAAGTGGAGCGGAATGCGCATTCGCGGCAAGTGCCATGCATGCATTCAAACATTCCATAGGAAAGCTTTTCTCAATGCTTTCCTATGGACGCTCTGTGTGATGAATGCGAAATTCGCATCTAGCGTCGCAGATACGCCTCTAGCGGCTGTCAGGAAGACAGCCACTAGAGGTTGGATTAACCCCTAATGTAAACATAGCAGTTTCTCTGAAACTGCTATGTTTACATGTGAAGGGTTAAAACCTGAAGGACCTGGCACCCAGACCTCTTCATTGAGCTGAAGTGGTCTGGATGACTATAGTGTCCCTTTAATGAAGCAGTTTTGGTGTATAGATCATGCCCCTGTATAAATCTGCTATTTAGGAGTGAAATCACTACATCAGTAAATGTTTGCTGGTTTTATGTATCTCATTGTCATGTTTTGGTGTTCAATAAATTTTACAGTTGGTTTCATATTGATAAATATGGAGAGTAAAACAACATCTAAAGAGAAAGGTGGTGCTCAGAAAATACGAGAAAAGCGGTCCAAAGAATTTAAGTTAGCAGGAAGGGATCCTAAGCAAATGAAACTATCTTTTTCTGTGGTATGTTAAAAGTTCAAAAGTTAAGGCTGTTCTAACATTTTTTGTCACAGAAATGTATATTCACTCTTTTGATAACAAGAATGAATATATCTACCGTATATACTCGTCTATAAGTTGATCTCGTCTATAAGTAGAGTGCAGTTTTTTGACCAACAATTGTGAAATATGCTATTACTCGTGGATAAGTCATGGATAAAACTTGGCGCTATGAAGTCCTGTGATTTTTATTATTTTGTCAGATTTTACCTAGGCAAAGATCCTGGAACAATCAAACAGTTACGGTATCTACTTCTCTACATCTCAGTGCACATGCCCCGTTCCAAAGCTATTAGATGACTGTGCCTGAATGCGGCAGGAACATTCGGTTAGCGTTATCTCGCCAGCTAGTGGTCCTGCTTATGGCTCACTACAGCCACCGCTGCAACAGTGACGTGGAAAGGGTACCGATAGGTGGCACTCATCAGCAATCGCTGCACTGTATACTAAATCAGCCTGCTGTTGTCCGTGTGTGTACCCGGTATCTGGGTCAACGTACAGCTATGTACACTAGCACTACCGGTAACTCTGTATTGCCCTGCATTTAATATGAACAAAATTCTATCGATACTACATGGACCCGTGGATCTGCGTTTTAAAATTAAGTTTACAACTAAAATTTCTCGAGTATATACGGTAGTCTGTTTGCATGTGCATGATAAAGTTTTACGTTTGTTAAGATTCATGATGGATTATCAAGGAGTGTGCATACTTGACTTTCCATAGTGATCAGTTCTACTTTTTTTAAGACATATTTTTACTTATTTGAAATCTCAGAAAATCTTACATGTAAGGTAAGTATAAATTGTATATCCTTTGTTTGCCTGAGGATTATTTTTTTTATTTATTTTTTTATTGTTACCGTGCATGGAGTTCCTGGAGTTTTTTGGTTACATCTAGAACTTTTTTGGGGAGATTAAAATAGGTTGACAAAAAAAAAAGTTGTTTTAGGCTGGTGGTATACACCCTAGAATTCCTGTTGATGAGGTTTCTGCTGGCCCAAGTGCTCCTTCAAGCATGCCAGTTGTGTCTGTCGAAGTTGGGGTGAGCCCACCAGCAGAAGAACAGGTCATTGAGGAGGAGCTGGTGTCAGAATGCAGAGAGCAAGCGCAGATGAATGACCCAGATGTTTTTAAAGAACTTCCTGAATTAGAATGTATCACACCTGAAGACATGTCAGAAATATCTTTTAGTCTTCCTCCTGCATGTTCCATAGCAGAAAAACATTATTTTGTTGAAAAACACCCTTATCAGCCAACCAGAAGTGAATGCGCAGATCTTCCTTTTCAAGAAGCAGACTTTTATTACCGCAAAAAGTCTAATGGGGATCGTATTAAGCATTCATGGCTGAGTTGTAAGATAAAGGATCGAAAGTTAGAAGCATTTTTTTGTAGCATATGCATTGCCTTTTCTAATTCCTCTTCCTCGTTCACTCGTGGTTGTTCTAATTTTCAACATTGCTATCAGGCAGTAAATAAAATATTGAGGTATTAAACCGTATATTTAATATTGTAAAACTGCTCGGAAAACAGGGATTGCCATTTCGTGCCCATGGCACTAATGAATCGCTGTACAATTTAAATAACATTGAAATAAACCATGGGAACTTTCTTGAAATTGTCCTACTTCTATCACAGTATGATGTTCCTCTTAAAAATCACCTTGATAAATGTGTTCAGGACAGTGAAAAAAGAAAACAGCGATTGAAAGACAGAAAAACTTCAGGAAAACATTCAACTGGACGTGGATCTCTTGTGACATTTTTGCCCAATAATACAATAAAGAAAGTATTTGCAGCAATAGTTCGAAGCATGAAAAACTTAATTGTGTCTGAAATCGGAGAGAAACGATTCAGTATACAGGTTGACTCCACCCAAGATGTTGGAATCGTAGATCAAGCAACAGTAGTTGCGAGATATGTGCAAGATGAAGCCATTAAAGAACGGCTTGTGGCGATTCTCCCTGTTAAAGATGCTACAGGAAAAGGATTTCACGAACTTCTAATGTCCTGTTTTGATGTACTTGGATTAGATTTCCAAAAAATTGCCAGTGAATCATTTGATGGTGCAGCAAATATGAGGAGTGCGTATGTGGGACTACGTGCACAGATTGCGAAGGTCGTGCCAGATGGGGTTTATATTTGGTGCTATAGTCATATCCTTAACCTGTGTGTCTCAGATTGCTGTCATGTATTGGAAGCAAAATATTTCTTTAAATCACTTGGCAACTTTTATTGGAGACTCCCACAAAAGAATGAATATCTGGAAAGACCATCTGGATAGAAGACATGGACAAGAAAAACTGTTAAAGTTACAAAAAATTGGAGAGACAAGATGGTGGGCAAAAGAAAAGGCCCTTAACTGGATTTTTGGTGAAAAACATTCTCTTTATTTAGACACCCTTGAAGTTTTATATGTAATTTCCCAGAGTAACTTGTTAGAATCGAAAACCACTTCTGAGGCCTAATCCCTTTTTCACAATCTTTGTCAGTTTAGGATTATCCTAACAGCAAACATATTTTTACAGGTTTTTGATGTTATAGGGCCAGTGTCAAAATATCTACAAACCAGTGGCCTTGACTTCAAGGTAGCATGGCAAATGGTCGAACGTGCAGTTGAGCAACTGAAAAAAATTGATTTCAACTATCTAAAACAAAAGGCTGAACACTTTGCAATAAAAACAAGTTAATGGAGTTAATGGATGAAAGTGATGTTCTTAACTCCTTGGAAGTCGAGACTATGCTTCCAGTTCAAAGAGTGGCACGAAAAAAACACTTGGCTGGAGAATCTTCACATGATGAACTACCTGAAGATGAAATGCAATGTTTTCGAGCTAGTGTGTTCAGACCAATTCTGGACCAAATCATACAAAGCATGACAGAGAGATTTTCAGAAAATAAGCAATTGGTCATGGATTCCCACTACTTGGATCCTTGCACATTTCAGAAAATTAGGACAGATCCCAAAGTACTAGATGGAGGGGCACTAGAGAGAATTTCTAAGTTAGCTAAAGTAAATGAATGTTCTCTCAAAACTGAATTAATAAGTTTTGCCAACTTATTTCCAAGTCTTACAGGATGTCTTTCTGAAGATGAGACACAGAAAGTGGAAATAATTCTTGATGATGATGAGGAGGAGGAGATTAATGACTGGATTCCACCTACTGACAAACTAGTTGAGGTACAAAAGGAATCAAAGTGCGGTTCTTGCAAGCAGTGCTTTCTTTGCTGTCACAGGTTGTTGTTAAAATACAACCTTTATTCTGCAGCTTATGAAAATCTTTCGATCACCTATGAGTACCTGTTGACCCTTTCTTTTACACAAGTGTCATGTGAGAGAGCATTCAGCAAGCTAAAACTCATCAAGACCTGACTGCGAGCCACAATGGGACAAGAACTGCTTGATGCTCTAATGCTCATGTCAATGGCGAGAGATCTTCTGGAACATGTCCAGTTTCCAGATGTATTGGAAATTATTCGTCAAAGTTCTTACTTGATGAGGTTTTTGCTAACCATTTGATCAAATATTTAGTTTAAAAGTTTTATACAGATATTTCTTTCTCTGGCTTCTGTATTTTTTTAAAAAGTGTATTGTGTCCATACATTGTTCATTTGTTAAAACTGTAGATTTTATTTTTGTTAAACCACATTTTTTGCTATTATAATTAAATTATGTTAAACTACATTGTATCATATTTGTCTTACTTCATAACATCAATATCCGTTATAAAACAAGGAAAGGTGGGCGTGGATGGTGAGCTGATACGGTGGTGCAATGGGCCACTTGACTGGATTTGACCCCAGGTCTAAGGCTACCAGCCCTCCCCTGCTGGGGGGGGAATGAGACACCTGGAGCGTCTTAAACGAACCAGAAACAAGTACAGTGCTACATTCAACAAGTGCAACATGTGGTTGAGGAGGAAGATAACTGATGATGATTTGATGAAGATTTCAATATGGTATGTCTTCTTTTAATGTTCTTACAACATATATGTATTTGCTATGTTTTCATCTTGTATATGTACTTCATAATTAAGGTTTTCAATGGAAAAAATTGTTGGTCAGGAATGGAACCCATGTTTATTACATTGCGGTCTATGGGAAATTAGTTCTCGCTTTATGAACTCTCACTTTATGAACTAGGCTTCGGAACCAATTAGTTCGTAAAGTCGGCAACTACCCGTATTTACTTTTGGTACTAATCTATTTTAACTCTTGTTGTTCCATATCTTGGCATAGCAAACTATTCAAGATATGTAAATAAGCTCCTCTATGCACAATAGGATACAAATGCAATTTATCTTTTTCACATTCATCATTCTGTTATTTTTTAAATTTATTTTTTTACATTTTTATTTTTGTTGTGCATCGGAATACATACAGGCTTGTCATGCCCCAACAGCAGACGACAAGCTATTCGAGATATACAGGTTATGTGCGGTAAGACATTTATAGAAACTTGTACAATTTTCAAAATTGTAAGATAATAAAATAACAGGCAGAGTGTAAGAAAAAAGTAGATTATACCTTGTCAAAGTAGGTTTAAGTGTGATTGATAGGATATTTGGGATTCTGCTGATGTACCTATAATAGAGGACAAAACATAGTGCAAATATTGCTACACACTATAAAACCGCTGGTAAAAAATATGCACTCACATATTCCAAAGAATATAAGCGTGTTCAGGGTGCCTCCCCCTAAGTGTGAAAAAAAGGGGGGGTTATTCTCCTTTAATTCTCCCTCCTCAAGTGATAGCCAGTGGGGTATCCGGGTCAGCAAAAAGATCCAAGCAGATGCAACCAAAGGAATACTTCAAAGGCGATTTATTCACTTATAAAATTCAAGAGTAGGTTTAATGCTAAACGGTGGTGCCTTAATAATGAGCTGGACAGACAATACAGCATTATTTAATGCCAACAGGCTAGATAAACATGGCTACTTGCTTCATCTACAAACATAAAATTACAGGAAAAGCTCTAATGAAAAATGGCTAATAAGTGTGTGGTTTATAAGGTACAGGGTGCTTTTAAAGGAAGAGAATCTGTTCCCATACCAGATATATACATGTAATAAAAAAATAAGAAATGATCCCAAGGCACACCACGGTTTTGCACATAAAAAAAAGAGTATTTATTCATGCATAGAAAATACAACAAGGCATCATTATAGCAGAGAGAAAGTGCATAGTATAGTGCTAAACCAGTATATAGTACCAAAACCACAAAGTGCTAAATACAAAAACCCATTAAAAAAGGTATACTGACCAAGAGCAGGAGAAATGAAACCCAATCATACACCCAATCATACACAATTAGAGCTATGAGGGGTAAATATGTAGTGTTGTGTATGTATTACATTTTGGTGTATATACTGATAACACTACGTCTATAGCCGTCAATCTTTTTTTTTTTTTTTAATATGCGGAAATTTGAATAAGATGGTTATGAAAAGATTTAAAGGCTATTTAAATTTACTTCTTCTGGAATTCTGTACATGACGTCTCTTTTGTAGACTATTTTTTCAATTTTGTTGAGCACATTTCAATTCAATTTCTTTTCAATTTTATTGAGCACATCATTTGTCTACATGGAAGATCTTGATCTAAATAAATAAAATATATGTAACTTCCGATACTTAATGAAATTGAATGACATTTAAATATATATCATTTATATTTATATTTCTTATTGAGTTTTTGCAGTGTTAAAGGGTTGGGCAACACATTACAAGCTCTTTTGCACAGCTTGATTTACCATAAGGCATCCTAAGGCACCTGCCAAGGCCTTAGATTCACGGTTGCCATGAAGAAAATTAGCCAAGCTTGGCCCCATTTAATATCCCTTTATTAAGAGTGGTAATATGGCCTCTGAGATCTGAATCCTTCTCTGGCAATCAGAGGCTATACGCTTAGATTTGTATTCATGTATTGTTAACATAGATTTAAGCACAAAAAATACTCCAAAATGCTATATACCTCCAGGAAATTCTGTAAAGCAATGTCTAGAGGCACAATTCCTGGATTTCTCTGCATATTTTGGTACTGCAGACATTTGTGATCTATGTTCAAGGCTGGGAACACATGAGTATAAATAATGTCATACCAGCCCTGTATAGTTGGTATATATCTATGTGATGGATATCGAAGGTCATAAAGAAAGACACTTTGAAGACCTGTGAAGGCACTCTATTCTATATATCTATATTTGGAGTAGGAAGTGCACCAGGCAACACACAACAGTATTAAGAAGGAAGAGGGCTAATCTACAAGTATGTGTGCATATTACATATGACATGGCCTGCCTGTTATTATAATTCTTTCATTACTAAGTATGTTTAATTAAAAAAAATTAGCATAACATTTATTTGAAGCAAAGGATGCATAGCTAGCACAGAAAAATAGCATAACATGTTTTGTGTATAAATTGGTTTGCAGACAAACTTAAAAAATAAAATTATGTAAATGTAAATGTATTTTCCGCTTATTTGTTCAGCCTTTATTAAAATACTGGGGAAATGAACAGCTTTAACCAGTATTTGACAACCTTTATCTTAAAATCTGAATACACACTTATTCTCATATACAGGAGGTGTGACAAAAATAGATAAGTAAAAATGGCCAAATACCATGCGTAGAGGTATTTGCAAGGAGGGCGATGACTTTACTAGTATTGCAGCTTACTGAAAATGGCAACAGAATGTAAAAAATAATGTTTGCATTTATGAATAATGCCCACATACAGTAAATGCAGTAAATCACACATTTAAAAAAAATAAAAAAAATAAAGGCATTTACAACAGATATAGCAGTCTTTATCAATCTCTGGAATGTTAATGTAATGCAACTGTGAAATGGTTGAGTCCATTCACTCCTCCCCATCTTTTACAGTAGGAATGATATAACCCATTGAAACTTATTTTACTCTTTGGAAGTTGGAAGTTGGAAGTTAGCAGAAGACATTTTCAGGACACTTACAGGCATATTATCAGAGATTAGTTGCACCTGTTAGAGATGCTTTTCTTCTACAGGCTAGCCATCATTTCTGGAGTATACATGAGGGTTAGTGAGGCTTTATGGACTAAATTTCATTCTGCAAAACACACAAAAATGTTTATACTCAATTTTTTTAGTGAAGGTGTTTTAATGAATTTATATGGGAATAACCTTTTTTGCCCTCATATTCTGTCTTTCATCTTTCACCAGTAAAGCTTCATAGCCGATCTAAGGGCACATATTTTTGTGTGAGACTGTGACAAAAATAGCTAGTGTACTTGATTTCAGATGTT